GTATCAGTGATCGGTATCGGCATATAATGCTTTCTGTGATGGGCCTCAAAAACCCTGATCGGAGCACCCCTATTATTTTATATCTGCTCTTATTGTATAGCTTTTATTTGTCTTATTTTAAAATTGTTTATCTCATTGTTCTATTATTTATTCTTGTTTTTCTGTTGTCTTTGTCAAGCACCAATTTACCAAGACAAATTCCTCGTACATGTATACATGCAGTACTTGGCAATAAACGTGATTCTGATTCTCGGTTTCAGTCAGTCATAGTTATTTTCAGTCTATCTTTTCCATCAGCCCTGCTTCCTGTCTGCTTTCCGTCCCCTGGATCTGAAGCATGTAATATGGTTAGTAATGGGCCGTGGTGTCCCTCTTTGCATAGGGCTATCTCTGATGTGTCCAGTTTGGGGACTCGTGCAGTTTTGCTCGCTCTTATTGAACTAATCTTTCAGGCAGCGGTCTACTGCAACTTCACAATGTTATTTCACAATGACAGACTCCACGGTTGATCAGTTTCAGCTTCCTTTCTCCTAAAAGACCATTTTATAAAGATCTTGTCTGAAGGATTCTGCTGCCGTTTGTGTTTGTTAAAAAAATGCATCAGATCAGAGATTTGACAATCCCCTCAGTATGATGGTGAGTCAGAACATCGCTTTAATGAGCAGATGTGACCTAGGAGGCAAACTCAGTGGCATGACAAGAGCTCCCAGAACTTAAGTGTCAAATCAGTGACGTCAAATCAATAGAAGGGGACACTGTGCCCTGATGTTGACCGCTTGAGACATGGACACATTAGCTAGTCCATGGCCACTGGCTCAGAATGTTCCTGCGTATTTGCAGACCTGCGTACTTGCACCCGGAGACCAGGGGCTGGATCCATGAAACATTCTTAAGAAGAAATTTCTTCTTAACTGCCGTTTTCTTCTTATTTTTTAACTTAAGAAGTAGTTAAGAATATTTTGTATTCCCAAAAATTAATCTTAAGAATATTCTTATCTTTTTTCTTAAGATTGTTCTTAAGCCAAAACTTGAGAAGAATTCAAATTCTTGAAAATAATCTTCTGAAAAATCATCGTAAATAACTTCTTAAATTTAGGACAGCCCCAGACTTGTCTTAAATCCCAAACAGTAAGAATTATTTAATGAATTTATTGGGTTATTTCAAATAAATTGTTATATTTAAGCATTACAACAACACTAGCTACATATAATACATAGTAGGACTATTAATAGGGATGTGCACAAGTTTTCTGAAGTGACAGCGATGACTGATAATGTAAACAATGATCGGTCATGATTAGCCTATGTGTGACGCTACATTTACTGACTTCAAAACTCAGTAGCAACTCTAAAATGAGTCAGATAGGGTGCTTTAATTGAACGCTTTTAATTTTAGCTTATAAATACGACATAATCTTTGGCAGTATTCAGCACACATGAATGCGCAGCCACGTTTGCTGTAGCAGCGCGGACACACATACCGGAAGCGTTCACTCGGATGAGAGCGCAAAAACACAGCACAAAAATGAATGAAACATATCGCAGCTTGAGACAGGCTATTTTTTAAAAGTAACTGTTCAAAAACACGGCGCATTAAACACGTGAAGCTGAGTGCCAGTCAAACTCACGA